AATTGAGAGACTAAATAAATGTTCAAGTACATTATAGCTAAAAGATCCAATTAATTTAAGACAACTTTTGTTTTATAATATTTTTCGATTTTAATACGAGACTAATGACAAAAATATGTCAATCAGTATCCAATCAAGGACGCGACATGTGTATTTATTCGGAAATACCTATTCGCATCATGTGAGTCAGGGGCAGGAGTGCGTCTCATTAAAATTGCAAAGAAAAAAAACGTGAACTTTGAGTCTGGACCGCCGACAAGATTTCAGATTAGTTTGCCCGCGGCTATATACAGCAGATCGATACGTCTCGTATAGGTCTTTTAAATCCGATGTAATGTTGCTTTTTCTGGAATAGTCGAAAATCGATTCTTTTGTTGAGAGAGAAAAAGAAAGAGAGAATAATAGCGACGACGAGACGTTTTAAATATAATTGAAGTCCACTTCAGTGTAGTGAATAAATAAGGCGCGTCTGTCGGCAAATCAATCATCTCTATTTGATTATCTCCATTTTACCGTACGCGATAAGTTTTCGTCGTTATATATCGTGCCATATAGTCTGTCTTCGACTTATTAATTTCGTATACGCTAAAATTGTCCAAGAGCAATAACGCAATTGCGTGGACATGCAAGAGTACATTTCATTCTGTATGAATAAAGATGAGGCGAAAAGTCGCATGAGAGAACACAACTTACTCACACAAATTAAAAATTAGTATTTTCCATAGATTTTTTTCAAAATATTGCGATTGACGAGTTTGATGTCGCACTCGACAGAAACATTAGAAAAAATTAAATTTTCACGAACGGTTTTCACATTTTTTCATAGTTATTTTTTCGTAATTAATCTGTAAGATACGATTACACAATAAATCAATATAGGCACAACGAAATACTAATAATGCAAATTTCGATTATGGCCCGAAGGATGCATCAAAGCTGCACCTGTTGCACTGAATGCGAATGTTAGTAAATGTTGTATATCTATCACTATAGGACCTGGCAAGTACATAGTTTGGAAAATTGTATTTAAAAATATCAAAAATATTTTTAAAAATGTCTAAACATTCTCAATATCTTAATGATAGTCGAGAAATTTCGTAAGAAAGCCGTAGCTGTAGCTTGTACATAAACTACTCTAAACCGAATAAATGTAGATTAAGAATAGCTTATACACTGTAAAAAATATGTAATATATTACACAAAAATATGTAAAATTACATAAATAATAAGTGTAAAATTACACGATAAATAATAGAAATGTTTACCTTTTCATTATTTATCATGTAATTTTACATTTATTATTTATGTAATTTTACATATTTTTTTTACAGTGTATATACTAACATAAAATTATATAATATCAAGTAATTAATATTATGATATATACAACTTTGCAGCAATATGAAAAGTGAAATTTTTTATATATTGCAACTTTTTATAGATTAAATTTTGTTAGTCGTTCAGGATATATTTTATTTATAACGATTTAATTAAGATAGTTATTATTTATCGGGAAATTGTTAAAAAAATATCTCCAATCTGATATAAAATAATACAGTAGTCTTATTAAAAAAAAATTCATTTATTATCAACAATGCGCTTTTGCAAATATTTGCATAATAAAATGATTTTGATTTAAAAAAAATCAGCATTCACAGGATTCGTAAACCTATGGGCGAGAATCATCTTACCTATAACTTCTCAGATTTTCCGAAAACGCTTAATTTTTTCGCAATTTTTCGTTTCTTAAAAGTAAAAGAAAGGAATAATTGGTCGGTTTGCTTCCGCGTATAACGAATACAATACAAATAAAAACGAAATCATAAGTATGCATAAATTTTAAATTTTCAATAACGATGTGTTGCAATTCTGTAATATACATTTATTTTCATTTTTAGCTCTAGGTAAAGCAATTGGAAATTTTAATATTTTACCATTTTGGCTCTTGATATGTTATCTAAATTTATACAATATAATACAACGTAAGATCGGACAATGATTATTCTTTCATATTTATACTACTAATTAAATTTGCAGGCGCTTAAGCTTATTAAGAACACAATGATCATGCGATTGATAGTCGACAGATCGATTCGAGAAATCATGATATTTTATAGATCCTTTCACCGGAATATCATAAATTAAAGGAGAAATTAGCCGGCTGTGTAGGCTATATTTTGTTTCTTAACCTGCACACGTTTACTTTCGCTGATGGCTTCATCGTGTTTTGCATGGTTAGAAACTTTCGCATTTGTTTCCGGTTCAGATAATATGTTAATTAGTAAGGTTACATATTTTAAAAAAATGTGTTGATTATGATATAAATACCTGAAATGAATCTTTGTTGCAATTACATATACATATATCTATATTAAAGAATAATTATTAGATAAATAGGAAAGTTTATTTCATTTGGAAAATATATTTATGAAAATCGATGTCGTGTCATATAACAATGGGCATATTATAAATTATATAAAAAATATAATTATAGAAATAGATGAATAAATGAATTTAGTGAATTAATGCATATTTAAGTCATGCTAAAATTCAAAGTAATGTCCACTAAACGAACAATAGATTTCTACCGAAAACAACTTGCATTAATTAATTAAAACATTCATATTTCGTGAAAAAAACTATGAGGAGAATGATCTTGATTCTTTCGATCAAAGAAGTCGAAACGAACGAACAATTTCATAACACACACAACAATGAAAATCCGTAGATTGCCGCAAATTTCTATGTACGCGCTGCCAATATCGCACTGAGATATGTGCGTCACGGTGCATCGCGGTGCATCGCGGTGCATCGCGGCGCGGCGTGTCGCGCGCGCGCACCGCAGATTTATCGGCGCTTGGCCGAGTTTCGGTAAAGTAAGTTGAGTGAATTGTAAATGTTTCCGGCAGAGAACTTCACCAAGATGGCTTCCCTTCACTACCGGGGGCGAGTTTGTTTACGCCTCATGACTCCCCACGTGGGAAAGGCAGCATGGCGCGCGTCACGGCCTCAAACGTACAAATCGCCTCAGCCTGAATGCGGTCTCTCGACTGTTCTGCCCATCTGTCGAAAGATTCAACGTAATGGCGCGCTCGCCTTCGGTTCATCTTCGATCTTATCCAACAAAGTTAACGATAGATAAATTGCACCTTTTTTTAATTATTAAATGTGTTGATGTAGAACAACTCTGTCAAGTCTACGCATGCATAATTTTTTATTCATTTATGGTTTTTAAATTGAGTATAAGAATATAGTTTATATAGTACATAAATGAATGAAAAAATTGCGCAATTCATGCACAGTTATGTAAAATGCATTCTTTAAACAACTGCGAAAAATTACTGAAAATATTTTATATATTATTTTTTTTTTAAATATAAAAGTCAATTAATATTAGAGTTATTTTAAGACGTCTCAATTTTCTTCGATTTTATTAACATTGGCAATTTTATCAGAATAATCAGTACGTTAAAGAGAGAAAGAAAGAGAGGGAGAGACATGAAAAATTGTATGTTATATACTAGTGTATAAATATATATTCTCGACGATTCATTTCAATAGCAGACAAAATAGCAACTTTATTTAAAGCATTAAAATTTATAAATTCAAAGTTATAATACAAAAGGTTATAATAGAAAGGCTATAATAAAAATTGAATTATATATATAATTAAAATATATAATTTGTATCGAAAAATATATACATTTTTAATAACTCTTTTTCTCTCTTTCTTTCGGTGATTCTATCATTGAAAAACTGGTATATTTAATATCAGAAAATCAAATTGATCTGATTATTATATTAATCTCACCAAACAATATAATAATTGAAAATTTATTTTTCTGAAATTATACATATCTTTATATATAATGCATAAAATTATAAAACCGATAACATAAAAATGTCCAAGAAATCATTCTTCGATTTGCCAATAATTTCTATTTTAAAAATATCTTAAAAATATTTAGCTTTATTAACTCACATATTAATGCGTCACACACATATCTGTATTCTAAAATTATTCAATATCACTGCTATACACACATGCAACTACATCATAATACAATAACGTCTCGTTCGACTTTTAATTTAGTGCTGAAGTCAACATATTTTTATGAAAAAATTTAGGAAATCTATCGAGAGAGAGAGAGAGAGAGAGAGAGAGAAATATTTCAGAAAAATAAAGTATGTCAAATTACTCCAAACTTTTTACATTGGACGTGCATTGACAAGATGCAAATTTGTTTCGCTTCATCGAAAAAGCATTCTTTCTGTTTGTTTAATCCTCGTATTAAAAGTTTTCTGTGCGATAATATCCACGACAGTGCTGTAACTTAGGAAGTCTGACGAAGAACGCGTAAATGCTAAACTGATAGTAAAAGACATTCTACAACTTTACTGAAGCTCTTTTACGATCACCTGGACATTTTCTACATTTTAATTAATCCATAAATACCCGCTGAAGAAACGCAATAAATCGTTGCTCCGAAGTTAGATTCTGGCTCCCACGGACGAGTTTGTCAAATAATAGTTGAGTCTTTGCCGTTTCGTTGATTGATTGAATTTTTGTTTCAACTATTCTTTCAACGTAGCATGGATAGGTCATGTCAGGAGGAAATAAATGGATAATTCTGCGTATAAATTTCCGCACGATTCTCCCGAAATCAGGCCGCATTCCACGTGGCATTCCACGTGGCTCCGCGAGTTTGTTGACGAATCAGCGACGGTGAAACGCCGACCTTCTCGATCGAAGACACACTATTAACTTGTTCTATTTATTTCTTTGTATAAAAACGCAAAAAAATAAATTCAAAGAAAAATTTAGATAATTAACGAGTATTTTCTTGGCAAAAAAAAACATTGTTTTTCAACCAACGCGAGGAGAAAAATTCGGGAAACTGCTTGGTCGATTGTTTCTTTGTCAATTACAATAATTATGAAATTTTCTCCGCGTTTCACCGTCGCCATAAAATTTGTTTTGGTTGGTTTTGTCGACTCACATTTCATGCGTTGCGGTGCGTGCTGTTTCCTTCGGGGCATCTGCGTCCTTCGGGAATGTGCGATTATCCGTGTGGCCTCCAGTTCTCTTCGCCTTGGCTGCGATCAGTTGGTCCCCAAAAAGTCAAGCGATCGAAAACACCGAGACAGTATCCTTGAACTATCTTTTCCCAGGACAGCTACCTAGGATAGTCTACCTCCTTTTAACAACACTTGCGGTTATCCAATCGGAACGTGTCCTGACAATCACTACCTCATTGTGTTCGCCAACAACCCGCTCGTCGTCATCAGTGACGCAATTGTCGCGATCGTCGTCATTCTATTCGAAGCTCACGGCATCTGTGCATTTATGAAACTGATGACAGAACGAAATAATAACACATTCGTCAAATTGCTGAGAGTACGATTGACAGGGATTACGTAAAATTGTACAGAACTCTCTCATTTATCCCAACACATCCGTATTATTCGCTATTGTAAAACAATCGAAACTGACGATTCGCGTCTCGATGTATTGGCGGGTGAATATTAATACTTCCGTATTATTGTCTACATCCTCTTTGTCGGTATTATTATATTGAATTCGAATAGATATAATTTTCGATCTCTCGGTGATACTGGACCGACCTACACCGAAACCATCCGTAGACCATCCGCGTATCGTGCACCAACCCCTGGTTCACCACTTTTCCCTGCAAGTAATCATTAGTCTCACTCTCGTCACTTTCCCGATCGGTCGTCGTTCACCCCGATTCGCGAAGCCCGTCTTCGATGACCGCTATCGGGATCGCGCCAAAAACTATCTCGTAAGATGGATCGGCGGACCCCGATAAGAAAAATCGCGCGATAACGACGTGTAATTCGCGTCCACGATGCCTCGCGGACATGTGTGAATGTCAAAAGAAATGTTGAATGAAAAACAAAGAAAGAAAAATATAGAAAGAAATGACTACACACAGATTATAAAAGAATAGATAGAAATAAACGTAACGTAACAAGAAAAAATAGAACGGAAGAAAGAAATGTGTTGGGAAGAAAGATGGAGAGAGAGAGAGAGCTCCAGAGTGAGAGAGAGGAGAGACAGAAGGAGAGGGGAGAGATAGAAAGATCGGAAGATAGACGGAAAAGAAACGGAAAGGAGATGGAGATAATGGCTACCGTCGTTCGTGGATCGCGAAATCGAGCGGGCGGCGGTCCAGCGCTGACTGACTACGGACTGGCGTCGCGGCGGCAGGTCGTGTGGTGGGGGGGACCCCAGGAGTAGTACTAGTCCTCTCTTTCCCTTCTCTCTCCGTCACCTCCTCCACCGACCGTTCTCGTCCGTTCTTCTTTGCTGGTCTCTCACTCGCGCCTGCTCGGGCTCTCCTTCCCGCCACCCTCGTTTTCTTTCTCTCCTCCGCGGCCGCGATCGCATCCACAGCGCGCGGCCCGCGAACGACGAGGCTGCGAAGGGAAGGGATCGCCAAGTGTACCGAGTGAATGAGCGAGATCGTAGGGGAGGAGGGACCGCGCGCCTCCTTGTTCTCTATCGTTCTCAGTTTACCTACACACGCTCTTCTCGCAATGTGAGCCGACGCGACGCGCCGCGCCGCGATGTAACGCGACATGAGGGGTTCGTCGCACTAGCGACGGCGCAAAAGCCAGCCACTCTCGTCTGCGAATGCATCGAATGCTGGTGGATGCGCTGCTCGCTGCAACGTGACCGCGACGTGGTATCCACGCGTTCACCCTTGTGGCAAATTCGATGGTTTTTTTTTTTTTTTTTTTTTATTTTTATTTTTACCTCTTCTCGCAAATTTTTGAAATTTTTGAATAGAGCTATGCAAAGTGTACCGAGCGAAAAAGAAGCCGACTGGATCGAGAGGGCTTATCACAGATCTATGAGAACTATAGATGCATTCGCGCGCACTGGGGGAGGTCGGAAAAGGAGGCGGGGTCCTCGACTCTGTGGCGAGGGAGGGAGGTGCACGGGGGAGGATGTCGCTCTGTAATAGTAATGTTAGTTCCGATTGCTGCCACGAGAGACGAAGGCGCTACTGCGCGACGAGCTACGGTACTACGGCAACGCGGAGCCACACCTAGGAATTTCTCGGAATTTTCGCTAAGAGATCGCATTCGAGATTACTGCCAGTCAAAGTGAGTACTCGACCGATATTGTTTGTTAGCAAAGTAATACTGTAACATGTAGGTAAGCTGAGAAATGTAATTATTGACCGTATTTTACATATTTCGAAACTTAACCTCAAAAACTCACAGAAGCTATAAAACTGATTGTATTGAAGTTGTCGAATGCTCTTTCCTCGCTGGATTTACATTTACGTACATTTCGTAATATGGTTTCTCTTTCTCACTCGTTTCTTCTCTCGTTCACACTTTTACTCCGATCCTCTCTTGTCGTGTTTCTCTCTCTCTCTCTTTCTCCCCCTCTTCCCTTCCCCCTTCTCTCTCATTGAGCATATTTAAATATTATACTGGAAAATATAACGTTAGCTTATAGCTGACATGAAGGTAGTGGACCCGTGCACGTGTTTAAAAAAAATTAAATATCAATTGAAAGTGAAAAAGAAAATTGCTTTTCATTGTATGCAAAATTTGGGAAATTAAATTAGTGTCTGTTATTATACATTGCCTACAGCATTAAAGTTTAACTAAATGAATTTTTTTCTTTTAAATCATGTCCATACATACTTTCCACCGTATCGCATTTTCAATATTTCGAATGAAATTACGAATTTATTGAATTACATTACCTATAGACAAAATATCAGTAGCCGGTTGATCGCTGGCTTTTTTATTTTCTCGATTATACATGTAAAAATAATGTTTAATATAATGTATTACTTTTAAACACACTGCGTCGACATTTGTTTAAATTTTTTATAAATCACTGATGATAAATATAATTTTCAGGAAAATAGTATTGCATAATTTTGCAAGACTTATATTTATAATTTATAATTTAACAAATAACTTGGAAAATAAATCGTGACATATGATGTTAGATCATTATCATCGAGTCATTGACAAATGATCATAAAGTTTATTATACAAAATGATACTAAATCCAGTCATCCTCAATATCTTTGAATGAAAGATGAGACTTCTAAAGAATGAGAGTTTAAGAAGAATCTTCGTTACATTTATTGTAAAATTACATCACTTTCGTTCTCCTTGATCGTTTTGCTTTCCCAAAGTAATTTCTTTCTCTCCAAGTCTTTTTCGGAATCTCTCAGTTCTCTAAGAGATGTTTCCCCGAAATATAATTTCGAAAGAAGTCGACGCCGACGATCATCCCGCGCTCTCTCGACTCGAGGAAGCTCGTTTTAACGAGAACCGGTGGAGGCGCTGGTAACATTGGCGGCTCTGCGGGATAAACTGTACCAACTGGCGGACACATCCCGCCCATCGGGCGGAGTCGGCATGATCTATAGCGTCATAGAACATCCCTGCCGCCGTGGTAGGAACAGAATGGCTACGCCCACGGTGCAGAACGTGCGCGATGCACCCCCGCCGTTGCTGCCGTTGCTGCCGCCACCGCTGTCGTCCTCGCGGCCACGATCGGGGGTCGAGGATGTTTATGCTCCTGCTGCCGCGTCTCTATCTAGTCGTGGCTCTGGCGCTGCGCTGTTTCTCTCCTGTTGTCGTCGTCGTTGTCGTCCTCGTCGACTTATCCTTGGCTCCTACCACTCGACGCGCGTTCATTATCGCTAAACATTCCTGTCAATTAAAAGTGCACCGACGCCCAATTTACCGGTGCGGCGGTCGTCTGTCGTTCCGGTGCGAGAGCTCGACCCGCGGATCAAATATTAACGAGGGACTAGCCGCGAGTTTTTTCCTCTTTCTTCTTTTTGTTTTCTCACGTTTTCTCCTACTGGATTCCCGGGTGGAAGGGCATAGCCGTACTTATGGGCTTTTCGTTAGCGCGCATGCAGATGTACCCTGGTTTACGATTATGGCCGTTGACTCTCATTTTCACGGAGACTGAAGGTAGCATTTTCCCGCGAAGCAATACTGCTTTTTGTCGGATTATATATATATATATATATATATATATTGGCGAATATATGCTGATAGAGGCGGGATAAATATGATACAGATATGTTTGCACAACTTACTTCACTTACTTGACTTACTTCATTTCAATAATCTTGATTTGATTTGATAAATATTTTGATATGTGTGTGTCAAGTCTTTCTTTCTCATATATAATCTATATATAATCGTCCAAATTAAAATTAATTATGTATGTACATGTAAAATCATATTAGGTATTTCTTTGATCAAAAATGTTGCAATTGTATCTTTTATAAATGAAGAGCAATTTCTGACAAAAAATTAATAACGTGCATTACTTGAGTTTATAATACTATAATACGAACAAAGAAATGTGTCGGTTTCGATTCTTCCTTAATTAAACTATATATATAACTTTAACAATATTTTCTATTAATACGTGCGTAAAGTTTTTGAGACTAAAAATTTTATTTGTTAATAAAAAAAATTGGCATCTCTGCGATCACCTAAAACTCAACGCGAATAGGATATTACAAAAAGCATTTTATTTTGGCGACGGTCGCACTGTTTTCGCAGACAGGTTGAAGAGGTTGTACCGTTCCTATACGCGCATCAAGCCAATTCGACGCCAGCGATGTTCACGATGCGACGTTTACGAGATCGTTTATTAGGTGACATTCTCATCGAGCAACTTGGCTGCAGCCTGAATTCGCTAGTTCTTTCCAGGAATCGTATCTCGGCTAAAATCTATCCTATATTAAAATGCGAAACTTAACCAAATATCGACAAAATGTGTGACACGGGAAATAATATACGTATAATTAGAAGTAATAAATACAGAAGCCTAAATCGATGGGAAATAATCATAAAAAGTATCGCTTGTCCACACTCACTCGCGAGAATTTTCCAAGGACGGTTCAACGAGATTAATTATTAATATTAATATATAATTTTGAGTATTGCATTTAATCTTGTCCATATATAAAATTTAAAAATTATATATGTATATACTATTATGATATGTTTATGTAAGATGTAAGATGTTAACGTTCATACATTGTTACTTTTTGAGATTTTATTAAATCAATTAAATTAACATTTTTTATTAGTAAACATTTTTCTGTTGATTTTGAAAGAATTTGATTTATTGTGCAATTTTTAAAGTGCGACATTAAATATTTGCACTCAAAATTTAAATTAAATTTTTATGAAATAAAATCTTTGACTATAAAAAAATCTGAAAATCTTAATAAAAACCGTATAAGGTATTATCTTGTAATTTAACGCACATGAAAAATTTTAATTATTAATATTACAAATTTGTCATACGTACGCACAACGTTTATTAATACTTAAAGTTTGAAAAGCAATCAGCTTTTAGTTTGGTTTAGAATATATAGGTGAGCGGAAGGAAGTGCTCAATTTCTAAGACTAAAATATTCTCAGATGTGTGAATATTTGTTTTGATATAAGTGTTGCGATATGTAAGATACACTCGCGATACGATATCGTATTTGATTCAAAGAGGAGAAAAGCTATGGTGCCGACAACAACGTCCGTTTGCCGAAGAAAATACGTATCTTGCAGTCACCTTAGATTCATGAAATAAATTCTTCAATATATTATTAACTTGTATATTGGACGGCTCTCATAACTTCGCGATAACTTTTCTGTGCGGAAGGTTCCGTCCAGGCTAATATTTCTTCCGACGTCTTACCAATGGCAAACTTTATCCAACCAGTGTAACTCGAAGCATTATACACGGTCACTACGGGTCAAAAAACGATATGACCGCATTCTAAAGGAAACAACTAACGTCGCGATTACACCTCTCGCTCTTGTCTTAAAATATTACTATTGCCTTGTACCAAATTATTGACACTAAAAACTTTATAAAACATATAGAATCTCTAAGAATGAATAAATATGATTTTCGAGAAACGCATAAATTTGAACAAAAATGATCTATCTTCATATTTTATAATTTAATTGTCACAGCTAAAGAGTGCATATTTCGTCCAACTTTTTTATTTTGATAATATTTTTATAATTGATAGAAATATAAATTTTATTTTCGGCGATTATACAATACAATATCATTATCAATGAACCGCGAAAAATGGTCTCACGCACGTGTATAATGCATTAAAGTGCAGGCCAAGTAAATTAAGAATTGCATAAAAAAAACTTTGTAAAAAATTGTTTTTAAAAGAAGTTAATTAGGCTCTTTTCACGCACGTTCGGTATATTTTTATATGATTGTGCTCGTTTGCCTGATCTGGATTTCGGCTTTAGATGTGTCTATGTCTTTTCTCTGACCGCGGGATTCCTTTTACGAGCGCTACCGAGCGCCATCGGTGAATGCACCCGCACTAAAACTTGCGAATATTTCGAAAAGCGTCCCGTTGTGCAACAATGCAACAATGTGGATCAGTGTTCGTTTGCGTTTTAGATTTACGTGTATGTGTGCATATCTATCCATTTATACAGCCAATTCTCTATAGAATCGAAATAAGTGCACCTCATAAAATAAAGCACTATGTGCATCCCTTTCTGAAGCTATCTGAAATCGCAAAGCGGGAATGTCTATTTTAGAATATTGCGAACATTCACCTGTAAATCTCGATCCAGCGTGCGTCGAAATCCTTGTAGACACGTTAGCATATGCGTAGTTGTTAATCCACGTTGCCAGCCTATTAAATAACAACAGGTTTTATTATGATTATTATTAACAAGATTTATTCCGTCGCGGATTTATTCTTATGTTTATTCTTACTTCCGTTTGGGCGATTGTTATATTTATTATCGTTTTTTCGAGGTTTAAGGTTTATTATTTTATTATTTTGCAGTTATAAAAACATTTTTAGAATTTCGACGAAATTGCAGAATATTTATTTAATTGAATACAATGAACAAAATAATTAAAATTGCATTAATAGTAGAATATAAAAATAATTGTAAAATAAAAAGTTGTGTTTGCAGATGCAGGTAAAGATTTGGCCTATTGCAGTATTTATACAAAGTTTTTCTATTTGACATATCTAAAAAGAATTCATTGTAAATCTGTTTAAATAATTCTAACGCAGGGGCCAAATAAGAATTGCCCAGCGAACATCGAACTGACATTTGCGTGGGCAGTCATGTTTGTATGTGTATGTAGTTATGTGCGTGATGGCGCGTAACACTATACAATGGACACACGCACATCGCTCGCATGTACATGCTTGAAAATAGATCTACTATCGACATTTCGCTTCTCGTGGCCATAAATTCAGCTGAAAAAATTGCGTATACCAAATAGTTTACAGACGTCGATTGCCGTCGGTTAAATACTTCGTGTTTGTTGCCGAATTGAATTGCATCTGCGCGAGTTATAGGCTTTTACATTTATTTTTTTTTTAACACGCCTCACACATACTCTTTCTTCCTCTGCTCACTGATTCTCTTTCTCTCTCTCTTTCATATATACTATCCCTCTATCTTTCTTTTTTATCTTGTCAAAAAATTTGTGACATATACTTTTCACCGCTCATTTTATAGAGAAGAAACGCTTCGATGGATGATAGAGAAATTTGTTAGAATCGCGACGAAGAACAATTGTGCGAAGCGCAGCGTGCATAACGCATATCAATCGGACAAGAAGGCGGAGAGACGAGGATTTTTTCGCACGAAGGAAATGTCGGCGATGCTTTTACGTTCTTTTTCTTTCTCCATCTTCTTCTCTTTTCTCTCGAATTTGCTCCTTTTTCCTGAGACCTCTATGAATCATCCACATTCTTTTTTTGAACGGTGAAAAGGAAAGTCGGTAAGTGAGAAGGGAGAAAGGAATAGAAAGGTTCGGATTCGAAAGGGAGAGGAGAATATGAGACAAGATCACATTTTCAACGACGTAACTTTCGCATATTGTCGAAAAACTTAAGCGAACGATCGAATCGACGATTAGAAAACCTTCGAAATACCAGAGGAGAAGATTAATCGGCCAGAGACGGCCTGTTTCAAAATAATTGCTGCGATGTTTCGATGTAGACAAGTCGCAGATGAACCCCCTACGGTCCATTTCTTACGATTCTTACTTTTTTTAAATTTGTTGATAGAATTTGTCTATTGCGTGATTTTTAAAGAGAGATCTATAAAGCTTCATGAGTTATATCTAAACATGAGCGTTGTATAGTTAGAAATATATGTCTTGAGTAAAAGAGAAAGAGAGAAAGAGGAAGAAAAAAAAGAAAGAAAGAAATTGTATAGGTATTAGAATATCCAGAAGAAAAGTGAATTTTATAAGTCTTATCGAATTCTTACTAGATTTAAAAATTTTTATATATGTATTTATTTCTTATATGTGTATACATATGTATAATATATGATTAGTAAAAATCAAAAAAATTTTTGGAAAAAGAAGAGAAACTAATTAATAACTAATAGTACAATTATATATATACATTTCGCTCGCCTTAAAATATAATTATTAATTTTAGAAGAAACAAAATATTAATCATATTATTGATAAAAAAATATTAACACACGCACAAATAATATTTTTGATTAATATTAATTTCAACTAATTCATATTTTATCAACTTAATACATTTTTTTGCACATTTACATGCTTTTTTAAATGAAAATCTTTTTAAAGACTAAAATTGTTTGTACATTTTTAAAAAATGTGTAAACAATATTCGATATTGTATATATAAGCCATGTTTTGATCTAGAAATAGATTGCAAAGATATATCTACTATATGTGTAGATATACATATATTGATTTATTTTTTACAATTATTTATCATTTCTCAAATTGTATTCTTACATTTTCCAAATTCTTTTATTCGCAATGTTTAAATGTTATGATTGCAATGGACTCTATCCAAGCTCATATACGATATGGTATAATTTTTCATAGTGATGCGAGCGATAATATTGCGAACTTGGCGAGTATAAAACACCAGAAAGGCAAGCTTAGTATTGGTGTGGATGGAAGGCGTTAATTTATCTCTCCACTTTTTTAAGGAGCGTTATCGCGCTGTAATTCGTTCACGCACGTCGACATTCTCTTAATGCAATTAATCCTACTACTTGTTTAAAGAACACTTCGATATCAAAGAAAAATTATTTTACACCGCTTTATTATGATATATTCAAATGGCAATTTTATATATATATATATATAATTATTACTAGAGTAATTTTTCTTTCAATATTATATATAAATGGTGTAAAAATTAATTTTCTTATTTAGTATTAAAACAAATTAATCGCTTCTTTAAAATAATCTGAATTTATATCTCTTATACTATATCTTTTTTTTAGAACAAATAAAAATTATTTACATTTATACGAAGATTAAAGATAATATTGGGAAAAATATTATACCTATATTATATCAGAATTTTATATATATATATATATATATATATATATATATATATACGTATATATACATACATATAAACTGCGATGTAGTCTTGCACAAGAGATAAATACGAAAGAGAAAAAGAGTAACTCGCATGTATGTATCATATATTCCATGACATTTTATATATATATTTTATTTTGTACTTTTTGCAAAACACACAAAATATAGTTTATTATTTTTTTTTTATATCGGAATGTTTTATTTACGCGTGACTGTGTTTCGTCTTTTAAATAGCTTTTTCTCTCCGCGTTTTATAATATACATATATATTTATCACACATACACACGTGAGAGATATACGAGAGTTAAACTTACAGTAAAACTTTAAAATGGTCTAACATCGTTAGATCATTTAACCATCAATTATGAAATAAAATATACAAATTGTCATGGAAATGTATGCGTTTCAAAATACGCACAGATTTTTTCTTTCAGAACAGTTATGAATAATCGTGCACTTTACGAACAAGTTTTGACCACGCAGGAAGTTTGTTCCACAAAGTTACCGATTGCCCAACAACCTTTTAACTCAGAATCCGGCATTCTCCGGATAACTATATTAAATCTGTCAGCAAATGTGTTACCCTCAACATCGATATCGAATGTTTCTCAAATTGTTTTGAAACGACACGATTAAAGTAAATACTCGGTTTCACCTAGCTTACGGAGCACGATGACTCATACGAATCTTAAGCGACATATAGTATTCGACGAGCGAGAGACTCGAAAACATTTAATCCTTCCATGTCCGAATAGAGAACGATCTTGATAGAGACAGCAAGTCAGACGTCGAATGGTAGCCTAGCGTACAGTATTCGTAGAAGGTTCGTTGCAAGGGTGGCTAGGCGAGGGGCAAAGGAGAAGCGAGAAGCCGAGGTCCGTCGGTATCGATCGGGCGTCTGTGGTAGATTGACACGTGTCATGGCCGCCTCTCTCGGTGGCGGAGAGAACGAAAGGAAGGAAAGCGAGAGAAGGACGGCGGTCGCCGTGAGAAACCGCGGAATAAGGGAGAGGAAGTGAGAAGGAACAGCGGCGACGGCGGGTAGCGAAGCGCGCGAAGGTGGAGGAGGCCGTCGAGAGGGTGGCTGGCCGGAGAGGGAGGGAAAAGGACATTAAGGTGCGTAATAGCCAGCGGGGCGAGCGCGCACCGCCGCGGCATCGATTAGACAGAGGCTCCCTCATCCCATTGCTAGAATGCAGCCCACACCCTCCTCCGTCACCTTCAACCACCCACCCGCCATCCGCTTCCCCCTGTCTTCTCTCCCCCCTTCACCCCCTTACACAGGGGTCCTCACGACCACCCACCTCCACCCACTCCGTCGAACTGGAGAGCCCCCGAGTACGTGCTCTACATACACACTCGCGCGCTTATGTCAGTTCCTGTCCTGCTGCCGGCACTGCCACTGCCTCCGCCACCGTTGCGAGAATAGAAAAGGAGAGAGAAAGCGGGGGAGAAAAAGAGAGACGGAGGGTGACCGAAGCCACCCTCTCTCTCTCTACCCTATCCCGTAGCACCTATACACACGCGCCGGGGACACCAACGTCTAACGTCGTTATAAACATTAACGGAGCGGCTCAATATTCCCCGGACCTTGCATCTCTTCCCTCCCAGCACTTCGTCCACCTTCGGTCCATCTCCCTTCTCCGCTTGCTGGACGCTCGCATGCGGCGAGCTCACCTTGCTATGCTTTCCGGGTCCTTCGTTGACCCTACGTAGGGTTACCTAGTTGGTATGCTCCGAATCACCCAAGTCGAAAGGGTGTGCTCGCCACTTCTTAGCGAATGTACGAAACATTCAATGCTATCTAGGAGCGTAACCAGCTTCGGGACATTGTCCGTCTATTCGATAATGCGGGGCCTTTATCGAGAACCGCTTGTTCCTTATTTATATGTATAATAATATTACGGAGAGAGATTCAAGTTCGAGTTTCTCGGGATAAAAATTGCCAGTGCAGAGATACTTGTTTTTTCTTTCATCTATTTTCGCGTTGAAAAACAAATCTCGCGATTTTTTAAATATAAACAAGTCGAGCGGAATTACGTTAGGGAGATTTCGTCGATTTCGTATACGATCGCTCGCGGTGGATCTCGTCGGATCTTTCTGGACGGAGACGAGAAGAACGATGAAAAGGAGGTTAAAAGAGTCTGCGGGAATGGAGTCGTGGCCGCTTATGGCTTCGGATCGAGATCGTCTAATTTCGTTCGACGAGTCCCGTAAGGATCCTTCTCTTCGTCGCCTTTTTCCTCGTCCTCTACTTACTCCACAGGCTTCGATTTCGGTGACGGAGTCGTGCGAGACGGGCGCATTCTTGTCCGAGGGTCGCGCTGATTATTGTTAATTATAGCGAGCATTAAAAGCAAGAGAGAGAGAGAGAGAGAGAGAGCGGGACCCTCGATCATTCCAATCAGATTAGTGATGATGATTCAAGACTGGGTGCTATTCCTCGTGGAAATTGCGTTTTTAGTCTTTTCAGTTTAACATAAATTGGGTGTGCATTATAATTAAATTACATGCGATATTCTAGCAAATTAGTTTTTTCATTACACAGTAATTTTCTATTTTTCATATAGGATAGTTTACAATTTTCCCTTTTTATATCGTATATATGTACGTGTTAAATCATATTTAAGAAATGAAAGATAATACAAATAGATTAATATATTAAGATATATATATAATACATATTTTATCGAGACAAAATTTGCGATGTAATCCATGTTGCAACGAATTATAAAAAATTCGTTTTTAACGATAATTGAACAAGTATTTATTTTTCATGTTTTCCCATCTCTCTCTCTCTCTCTGCGATCAAATCGTAAGGTTATTTCGAAGAGCAATCTCGCGTTTACGCGAACCTTATTGGCAGCAGGTGCGCGTCCTTTTTCCACACATTGCGATCCGTAATTAGGGATTAGTTGCCAACGATCCTCAATCAACGAGGAGTTAGCTGAAAGTGCCATGTGATGCGTCAACCATGGATATTATATTGACGTATCGATGTCTCAGCGATGTTCACGAGCGTCGTCCAATTAACGGCTATCCGTGTTTTTTATTGACAAACACTCGTAAATCTCGGTAAATCTGTCCATTTGGTTCATCTACCCTCCACAATACTCGCGCCAATCGTTCTCCTTATTAATGTCGTACACGTGTTACATACATGATACGACGGATTTATCCAGAATCGTGTATGTTTCGAGAGATCTAATTTGTCGTATATTAATCCTGTCTTTTAATTAAAATCTGTTTATTTTGATCTATCGAGCTTCATGTTTTCCTTGCAGTTAATGTCAACATTGTTTCATTTATTTGTTCTGTAATTAATGCGAATATATAACAAGGATATTTATCGTCATCTCTGTTAAAAGCATGCTATTCGACGAATTAAAGTTGACATTTATTTAACTCGATGAGTGTTTTCATTAATTTTATTCAAAGAAGTAATTTCCAAATTAATTCAAATTTTGAAAGAGAATCGATTAATTTTATCAAACAATATGCATATGTATGCGAGGTATATTCTAATATTTTTCTACTGAACATAGATTTGTAAATATATTATTTCGAATTGAAAATAAAAACAGCTATGTTTGCGCGACATTTTTTCGTACACGCAATTATAATCATATGAATATATCTTGAAAAATTTATGAGAAACTTCATTATTGAATATGTATATGCGGGTGTATAAACGCGCGTGTGCGTGTGATAAAATTACAATACGTTGCCTCGCTTGAACAGTTTCCATGGCATATATAGTTTGTGATATCGGAAGAACAAATTACAAAAAATTCGTGAAATTTTATTCCAAGTTTTCTCTTCAGCGGTACACCGGCAACGAAGGAATAATCCACAAAGGGCTCGTTCGGTCTCTTCCGTGTATGCGAGCACGCGTGATACGCGGCATTCGATCGAGGACGGTTAACCCGGGCGCTAAGTTGGTTCGCGTCGTAAGAAAAACATTTTTGCAACTTCTCAACTGTACGCAAATCGAATTTCAGTCACGTCAAAGGTAAACTACAAACGACAACGAAACCAGGAACCGGGATATTAGCCGATCGAGCGAGAAGGGGTGGAAAGGGTAGGACACCGATGAGCGTGTTTCGGATGGAAATTTCATTCGCTAGTTTTCTCCGCTTAATAAGACGAGAGACGGAGGTCGCCGCCGGTTCGTAGACTTCGGAAAGGGGAAACAGAAAGGGCGCAACAAGGGCGGGGGTGATGCAGAGGACGCGCACGGGCTGCCGGTTGAAAGGGGGTGGGGAGGGGGCAAGGGGAAAGAGAGAGAGCTGCAGAGGGGCGGCCAGGACTGGGAGGCGAAGTGTCGTCGTCCGAATAACGGCCAAGCGGCATCGACCGATCTTCCTGCCCGCGCGAAGCGTCAACTTGTTTCCCTTCTGCTGCGCGAATATCGGACCTTCAATTTGCCCACTGCGGTTCGCTAACGCGATTGTCCTCAGCGAGCTGTCCATGACGCGGTTGTAGTGTGACGCGTGATCGGGGTATGACAGCTAAACGATTCCCGAATTCACTGCAAGCCGCGATCTTGCATATACGCTCAAATATGAATTCCTTCTCTATCGAATCAACCAAATAACACCTAAAAAAAAAACGCTTTTTTTTTATACTTACATTTTTCACCACTTTTTTCTTTTAACGAGAGCGTTATCGAAATAACAAGATTTTTAATTGTCTATTTCTTTCCAAACTTTCTACTTTTAGAACGCGTTGTTTAAATTTTATTGTTTTTTATCTGCAATATTTTTGAAGTGCCAAAGTATTATATAGGAAACACTTTAAATTAATTTGACAAATATATATATATGGAATAATATATACAAATAATATATGGAAGATGAATAAAATTGAATTTACAAGAATAATTGTAATCGTATATAAAAAATTTATATATATTTTTGTCGATATGCATATGTATATAGTATTACATATTGATAAATATATACCCATGCCATTTAATCTATATAATATTCTTTATAATATAAAAAATAGAAATATAACCGCAAGCAAAGAGATAAAGATGATATTACGTATATGTTGTATGTGTGTAATATTTCTTATGATATAGATAAAGAACAAAAAAAAAGAGAAATAAAATTGAGAAAGCTTGTTTTGCTAAAGATTTATTTGCATGGTTAAAACAGTAACAACATTACACAGTTATAAATTCAACTATAAAATCTCACACTTTGGCTTTTGAAGCCTACAATAATAAATATTTTCTTAAAAATTATCACACTTTCTCTCTCTCTCTCTCTCAAGTTAATATAGGGGGTGTCGTTAATAGCAATTGTCACTTTCATTATTTCAGCTCAGTTTTACATAAAAATTAATCAATGGAAGGTTACGAAGATGATGATGATACTCATTTTTGCATCAAATGTAATTTGACAGTACACGGTCTCGACAATTATGTACGGCATCGTCGATCAGGTTGTCGACCTCCTGACGATAAAAATGAGACTGTTCACGAGTCACCTTCGACGCCGACGACGGTATCCTATCCCGAAATTTTAAACGCAGACGCGTTCTTTAGTTCGCTGGAGCTACAGAGCAGCGCAAAATCAAATCCTCGACGAGCGCCGATTTTACTGGATAATAATAGAAAATTTAAAAAAGAGGATAGAAGAAAGAAGGAAAAAAATCAGGTGGATGTTGGCGCGAAGGATAAGCTTCACAGTATGTCACCTGCCGTCAGCGATCTGGACGATCCAACTGATAATCTATGCATCCAATCCCTCAAACCAACCGATCGAAAGAGGCAGGAGAATCCTCAGCGAATAGTGTCGGATCAACAGAATTGGTTGGACGACACCATTCTTGCCGATCTCGCTTTGGGAAATAGCGAGAACAAGGAGCTAGCGAGATATGATTTCGAGTACCAACAGGACGACGAATCTGAGGATGACATGCTAGACGACGACTTGGGGGAAGATGACTCCTATTCAGATTCTGACGACGGTGAAAATCAGGAGCGTCCACCGCGAGATCATACAGGCGGAAAGTGGAAACCTGGACTCGGCGATTTGCCACAGGACATGCCACATATGCATGAGGAGGATGTGGATCCTGACGATGATCATCAAGAACATCCACCGCCAACGTATACCGGTGGCAAATGGAAACCTACGGAGACATCGCAGGTAGGAAACAAAAATTATTTCAGGATTATAAGTTATTTTATGTCATAAAATACATATATTAAACAGTATACGAAAATTTGTTTTATTTTTTACTGTATTACATATATTCATCTCTTGCCTTTCTCCCATCACGAAATTATTTCGTGTATATTCATATTCATGGTAATATAAATGTATATGTAACGTGATGTGAGCCTAAGCGATTATTGTGTGAGCAATGATGATTTGTTGGACAAAGAGACATCGATCATTGCAGAAGATCGAGGAATACGAGAGCAAGAACACATCCGGACAGCCACCGCCAGAACACACGCGAGGGAAATGGGTACCGGGTGCACGAACGGATATCGAATCGGGATATTGGTGCATTCCTTGCGGCAGGAAGCTTGCCTCACGATTGGTCTACAACAGGCATGTGCTTTCTGCTTTGCACGCCAGAAGGAGCATTAAAGAGATCGACGACGGTCTCCATTTACCGCGCAGAATAAAGTTGCGCGCGAGCAAAAGAATGTCCACTCGTAGGCAGGCTTCCTTCACAACGGTATATATATATATATGTATATATACATATATGTAATATGTATAATAACTTCTCAACAACACGATTAAAACTAACATGTACATCTATTTTTTTCTTTCTCTTTTATTTTTCAGATTACTTTGTTAATTGTTGTTGTCACATACATATATTGTCATTTTTTAAATCTATTACAGCAAATGTATACATCTAATGCAAGACATAAATATTTTTCGTATCATATAATTTTTTCACAAATCAATTATTTATAAAATATAATGTCATTTATTCTGTCACATTAGATTAATTAAAAATTTTAATTAATTTATTAAAATTATTAATTTAGACTGAGATTACACAATTATATGATTATATTTTACTTTAATATTTTTTCTTCCTCTTTAGAAGAAAATTTTTCTCGGTCTATGAAAACTATATGATGCGGTTGAAGTTTTTATAACGCTGTTTCTTTTTGTGAAAAGTTTTCCCTTTATTTTCTTTATATCTTTATACCTAACTTATATCTATTAGAAGTTTAAGAAAATTTTGTTTATTTTTTTTACAAGATATAACATTGTTTTTTGAAAATATTTAAATCATACACAAGAGCGGAGAAATTATCCAAATATTAATTAATATGTATATACATTTATATTTTTTTATACATAAGAGATATAAATAATTATTTTTTATCTTTTAAAACAAACGATATACAATACTTTGATTAATTATATTATATTATTAGAGGACGACAGACGTACCCGAGCAAAAGAAAATTAAGAAAGGTTTGCGTCAAAGAGACAAGGAGATTGTCCCATGTGCGATGTGCCACGCGCGCGTAAAGAGGCTTCAGATGGGTAAACATTTGCTTTCCCATTATCATTGCCGTGTGGCAGGAGTGAATCCTTGCAGTCCAAATGCACGTCGCTTTCTGCTGGATAACATAGCGAATGTAGTACGACAGTGCCCTTTCCAATGCGCTCCTTGTCGTTTTTACTGCAACACCGAGGAAACGTTCTTGCTTCATTGGCGTTCTGATCTTCACATCAAGACCTTAAAACTAGTAAGTTGTTGATCGATTGGGAGATAGGGCGAGGGGCGACAAGCATAAAAACATTTGTATTTATTTTTTAATTTTTGGAATATACATGTATAAATTCATGCATACAGTTTTCGCACCTGTTGATAAATTATTATTCCATACAAACACTAAATAGAGAATCAATAAAAAAATATACTTGTTAAAAAATAAATACATCTGGATACTCGAAGGATTTTTATATATATTTTCTTCTTTTTTTTTTTTTAGAGTGGTGGTAGATATAGATGTAATTCATGCGATTTTTGGTGCGAAGACAGCAAGATGATGGAATCTCATCTTTTGAGTATGAGTCATCGCGATGTGATATCGATGATGAACGGCTCAGTGCCGATCGTAATTAGTCGTCAAGAAGCATTATTTTGCGGTAGTTGCAATCGGCAATTCCGATACAATTTCCAGCTACGATTACATGCCAAAGAGACCGGTCACGACGCAAGTTATACCGCATCAGATGAATATCAACAACGTATCAAATGCGATCTGTGTCCCCAAATTGTCCGATCCTTGGTTGCGCTTCAACGTCATCAATTAATCTGTCACATCGCCAAGGACAAAGAAAAGAATGAAGTCGCAGAGATTACTCAACCGGCGCCATATTTCTGCTCTTTCTGCTCGATGAATTTCATCACCGCCCAAGAAGCAGTAGTACATCGAAGAACTTCTAGTCACAAAGAGGTTGTAAAAGCGCGCAAGATTGAAGAAGGACTATTGGAAATCGTGACGCGAAAATGTCCTCATTGCGACGAAAAACAGTCAAGTCTTGCAGCGCACAAAAGTCATCTTCTCCAGAATCATCCAGAACTTTGTCACAGGTAATTTAACAAATTATTAATACTATACAATTTTTATAGTTAGCCTATGTAGAATAAAGCAATATTTATTTTGTCTCCGACTTTTTACAATATTTTTAAATATTTTGATATAATGTTTGTACTCTGTAATTTTTTTTTTAACAGATGTCCTCGATGTGGCATGCAGTTTGCCCTGTCGCAAGATGTCACTAAACATACGCGAGAAGGTAATTGTATCGAGAATAATAAATCCAATACGACTGAAAGAATAGACGTGAAAAAAGAATGGAAATGCAATGACTGCATCTTTTCAACGGATTCTCGAAGTGAATTCATTTTTCATGAAGCCCTTCATGTTGGTACAGTTTCAATTGACAAAGGAACATCTACTTCGAACAAGTTATTACCGAAATATTGGTGCCCGATTTGTAAAAAGGCTTTTGCGAAAGTTACGCTACGGAATCACATCAGACAACATACTGGAGAGAAGCCCTTTTCCTGCATCAAGTGTTCAATCTCATTCTCGAGAAGAGCGGATCTCATCGCGCATCAAAAGCTATGTGCTTCCTCGTCACCAGGATCTCTGGACAAAACTGGCCGTCGGAGAAGCTTCATCTGTTCGGAGTGCACGGAAGGTTTTTATACAAAGTAAGTGGCATATTCCAATTTTAATTTTTAATGTTTTTTAATGTTTTTTGTTCCATAAGTAACGTACTTATTACTTTTTTCGTTTGTTAACGTTCATGTGTGCCATCGTGTTGTCTATAATGCTACTTTAAATTCTAAAATTGTTTGTTTATACACGTAAATTTCTACCTTGTACTATAATCTCTCTTTCTCCCTGTAATCTCTCTCTCTCTCTCTCGCTCCATTTGTCTAATGATTCCGATGTAAGAAAAAATCACGTATTATTCGCAGAAGACGAAAACGCATATATATTCTCGATTAAAAAACGATGTAAACGTGTCAGAATTACATTTTATGGGGAAATGGAATATTTTATTATTTAAATTGATTTATATAAACGATCGAAATAGACTATTCGAAGTATTACTTATTTTGATTTTCTTCTCTCTGATTTGTTTTTATTCGATGGACTGCACGCTATTCTTCTGCAGCGTGACCGTTTTGTAATAAATAAAGGACATCGTATTCTGGAAAGTGGGAGGGAAGGGAGAGGATGCAAAAACGTCCGCGGCAATAAAAGCATTCGCCGCGAGCTGGAACCGCGAAATGTTCGCGCGGTCGTAGTAAAAGTGTCCTCGCTGCATAACTATAAAATAAAGGAGCGTAGCCCAATGGAGGAGACTAGGTAGAGCGGATCGAAAATGCACGAGAGAAAAGAAGCGAGACGAACGTAAGACGTCGCGAACTGGAAAGAGAGAAAAGGAGAAACGGGAAGAAAGAAGAGATACACACACCCTAGCCCGACAACGGGCGTCGTATTAACATCTCATAACAATAATATATATACCGCTCATTTCACTATTTAACAGACCTCCACTGTATAGCTCGCAATAGTAGACATTATATATTTTTCTGATGCTAACATATTAATAATTAAAATATATAGATTAATAGAAAATTTATTGGTATCGATCGATTATCAAATAGAGAATTTCTAGAGTTCTTTTATCATACACAAAATTCTAACAATATTCTATTTAATAATCAATTGATATGTCTCTCCGACAAAACATTTGATCTGCGAATATAATATTAATCTACAATCAATCTACAACAAAAAATTGAGATATCATTTCTCTAATTAATGATATATAAAATCACTAAAATGGTGTTATTTTATATTAAAATGGTGTTATTTTATTAATGGCTCATGTTGCTAGCCAGATTACGAAAAACACATGTGCTTGCCAGCGTATTTTGGTATTTAACAAGCTCGCATTACGACGGATATATACCACGTGTTCCTTTAATACTAACGTATGCGCCTCTATGACTGCTGCAATAGTATTTGTGTATAACTCGGATGACGCGCACGCGGTTGACATAAGTATTAAACCATTGCTCGTAGAGCGGTTGCTATAAAGCAAATACATTAATACTTCGGTCCTGCTCTCTTTCTGTCTTTCCTCCGCTTTCGCTGCTTCCTCGGACTTCTCGTATACACGCATTACCTTCTGTTACAACACTCAGCTACCATCCTATTCTCCTATCCGAACGGCTTCGAAACCGAATGACCGAGCAAAAGTCTCAACATGCAACTCGAGTCATGAGGATTTCGCTTAATGCCACGATTCCGACCATTTCGAGGGATTACGTTGTTGTTCAGTTATTCTTTAGTTTTACACCCTCCAACGTACTGATATTTTTTCTTTTCTCCAATGCTGATTCGTCTTCAAAGCTTTTTCCTTTCGCGGTCCATGTTCGTTTTATTTAAGACAATTTTTTACAAGCTTTTACATTATTTCGAAAATTGTTTTGAAATTTTGATGGACACTGTTCCAATTACTACTATCTAATAAATAATCTTATACTACTGCACGATAAAATACTATAAAAAATATAATTAATCTTATTATAGAAAATTTGATTTAATACAAGCAGATTACATATATAAATCTTCGTGTATTTTATCGTAGAAATTGCGATTATACATGGTAGCGTTTCAAGAAAATCAAAACTAGTTTTATAAAGTTTCAACGAGTCTTTAAATGATTTAATCGACTAATTTTACGATCCAACTCAGCTTATCCTCGAAAATCATTCTCCATCCTCATCTCGACAAGACTCCTGGTATCACTTCCGTGCAAACTCGGACCATCTCTATGCAGACATCCTATAATCTTCCTTAGGGCTTAGCTTACTGTAGCTTGGAACGCGAGATCGACGTACCTGGAACTCGACATCCTGTTCCGAGCGAAAGGAGTTAGAAGTTCCAGCAAGCTACCTTGATTAGAACTCTCACCACCTCCACTTGTCGTTTCCACTTTGCCTTGTAATAGAAAAAGGAGGACCCGCAAAGGGGGAGTATATGCGTCATCTTCTACAAGGGTCAGTTGGCAAGCTCGTTCGTTAACTCTAAAATGAAACGTGTTCGTGAAAGAGTAATGTCCTGCGACAAGTTATTATTCCAAGATCATGAGAAACGTAATGATGACGAAAGAAAAATCTTGTATTGAAACTAAGAAGTTTTGAACTTGAAATAATTTTTAAATTCTTACTCATTTAACAATTTTTTCGGAAATTTTCGATTTCTCCGTTATAATTTTTTTTTTTTTTTACATAATCATTTTAATTGTCATATTATTAACACAGATTTTTGCCATTTGATGTGACTTGACAGTTATACGAATAATTGGATCATCTTATAATAAAAGATCCAGCGATCGATCGTTGGGTATTTCTGTTTAGGCGATAGCACGATATGCCCTTTCTCCTCAGTGAGGAGTTCGTTACCTGTAAAATAAGACGCGTATTCGCGTAGTCGCGTATGCAAGGTCGACGCAGCGCGGGAATAAAAGATATCGGAGTGAACGTGACGATGGCGGCGGCCGTGTGGGACAGAAAAGGAGCACGATGCGCCGCGCTCCGGATGGCGAACGAAGGGAATTCAGAAAGAAAGAAAGAAAGAAGATAATTACGCGAAGAGACGGGCAGCTCCCGCGCACTCGATCGCCTAACCGATTCTCAGAATACGTGGCCGGCTCGCGATGTATGCGCATATTCAAGATAGTATGTTACATACGCGAGCTACTGACCATGCGTTTCGCTTCTTCGTTCACTCTTCCCCTGTTCGTTCTCGGACCCTATCCAACCTCCGGCAACCTTCTCTTCCACGGATTCACGACGTATACGCGAGAGATCCCCAGAGGTATTTATATATATGGACCGCGGCGTGGCGCGAGCGTATCTTTTATCTTCTGTAGCAGTAATGGCGCGTCCACCTCCTCCGTATCTGGTCAGGTAAACAACGCATAGATAGGCATGCCGGCTGAGATCGGCGGAACCTCACCGTTGGTTGATATCCTGTTCCTGTCGGACGACAGATTTCAAGGGAAAATGCGATGGCAGGGTACAGTGCTTTCCTTCGATTCGGAAATTCAAATTACCAACTCAAATCTGTAATATGTATATATAAAGGTGTTGTATCCTTTTTTTTTACCTGCATATTCTTTAGTAACGATCGATCACGATAGGAAATAATCTCTTTTAATCATGTTTTATACTTATTTAGCATTCGATTTTAATTTTGTTTGTAATTAATTTTATTTAACTTTTATATTTGCAATAATGACGCCAGATTTAGTTCCGCTATTTTAATTGATTTGGCTATATTTAAGAATTTGGTAATTAATTGCATTTAAAAAACTTTTAATTAATGACCTAATAATCATTATTATATTTTATTATATTAATTATATTTTATTTAAATATTTTCACCTTGAAACATAGTCCTTTATATTAATTGACTACAGTTTCTATCTACAGTGTCTTTAATGGAAAAATTAGCATAACGAGGTCATTTCAAATATAGAGTCACACTAACTTCTGACAATTATTTTTATCAGGCATCATTAACGCGCGGTGTCGCCTTTGTAAATTGTCCCGTAGGCACTTTGACATATTCCATAAAATCAATATATCTCATAGATCGTTCCGACGAGGTAAAGTTTGTTCGAGGATTCGCATGGAAAAAAAGAAACAAATGTTTGCGTGTATGTGTGTATCGCCCTCTTTTCGTACCGAAACAATGAGGCAACATTGTGTCGCATTCGTTGCATTTAGATGCATCGGTGAAACGTTTCTCTCTCGCTAATATTGTAGATCGTGCATTCGCAACGCGTAATTTCCTGGATCGACTTTAGAGTTTTTAGACCAAAACTATATCGACTTACAATTAGTCTGAATTATTAAATAAAACAAAATTTATTATATAAATGTTTTTGCGCGGCAAGCTATTGTTGAAATTTAGTTTTTAACTCTCTCTCTGCTCTCTTTCCCTTTCTTTTATATTCATCAAATTTTTATATAAGATACAAAAATTTTAATGAATTATCTATGACAACGTAAAAAATCAGCTGAGAGATACTGAACTTGAAAAAGAATAAATGCAACAACAAATATTAAAATTGATATCCGAATTTTGGAAACATTGTTTTGAGACTTTTACGTCTAGCAATAAGTAGTGCATCGCATATATGCCGCTGCTCACGTGGTGGCGACGCGACGCGACGGCGTCGGCGACGACAGTGGTGGTTGCGACGCGATGGTGGTGCGTCGTACGTGTGGTGTAGCAGCACGCGGTAAGCACGCGGCCCCGTATATGCAGACAGTTTAGTGGTGGCCGCCCCGCGAGTCCAGTTGTCGCGTGAAATATTGCGATTCATAAAATAAAACAGGCCTGCGGTCGAGGACGCGTACATATAGCCGCCCGGCCGCTAACTATCCTAACCCTCACCCTTCTCCCTCCCTCTAGCTACCCCTTCTTTCGGTCCCTTTTCGTTCTCTCTACCTTTCTCCGTTCTCTTTCTTCTAACGTGGCCCTTCTCTCTGCTCGGCTCTGGTGCGATATCCCATCGCCCTTTCTCTTTTTCTCTTCCTTTTTCTCTCTGTTTCGCTTCCCTTCTTTCCCGGCTCTCTGACTGCATCGCTGTACCCAGCTCTTTATCTTTCTTTCCGTCGTT